CCGCAGCCTCGACCTGCTGGGCTCCGGCGATCCTTCCGCCTCAGCCTTCCGAGTTGCTGGAACTACAGGCGCGCGCTACCACGCCTGGCTAATTTTTTGATTTATTGTAGAGATGAGGTCTTGCCAAGTTGTCCAGGCGGGTCTCGAACTCGTGGGCCCAGGACAATGTTTTCTTATCAGTTAGAATTTTTGTTTTTATTCACTGAAATAGTTCTTTTAGCTTTTAAAAAAATAAATTTGTATTTTATAATACTATGCATAAATTAGAAAGAAAATACAGACAAAATAAGTTTGCTAAATTGGTGTTTCTAAATTTTCTTTGTATTTGAGTCTGTCTCTTCTGAATAAAAACTATGTTTATTATGGAATTTATAAATAAATAAAATAATAGAGACTAGTATAGGTGAACTCCCATCTACTCTTCAGCCACATAGTCACTGGTGTTATTTTTCTATACTCACTTTTTTTACACCACATTATTTTAAAGAAAATCTCAGGTATCTTTTTATCCATAAATATTTTAGAGTATATAGCTAAAATAATGATTCTTTTAAAAACATAACTATATTAACAATAATCTAACTAAAAATTCTTCATGTTGTTAAATATTGTACTCTCAAATGATTGTTGTTTACGTTTTTAAAAACGGTTTATTTGAATCAGAATCCAAATATAGTCCATATATTGCACTTGAATGATAATTCTCTTTAATCTATAGGCTCCTCTTCCTGCCCACTTTAAAAAAATGTCATTTATTTGTGGAAGAAACTATATGATTTGCTCCATAAAATTGAATTTCTTTCATTTTGGACTTTACTGTTGGTATCTTATGATATGATTGCATATATTCCTCCTTTCTTTATTTTTCTTGTAAACTGAAAATTAGATTCAGAGGCTTGATAAGTTTCTGGCTGTTTATTTTGGGCAAGAATACATCATTGTTGGTATAAACTTCCTGTTGTCAGAAGGTATATGATGTCTGCTTGTTTATCTTTTTGTGATGTTAAATTTGACTAATAGTTCCAGTGTCATCAGCCTAATCAATCTATTAAAAAAATTTCCTATCAGTCTTTTGCCTAATAATTTTAGAAATTATTAATTGATGGTCATTCCTTACGTTCATTATTTTATTGAAATCAAGATGGTATATTAGAAAATTTGTAAAGAACATCTGGAACATATTTTTTTTCCCTTAAATTGCATTTAAATGACTTTTTGACTACAGATTCAAGGAGTTGCATTTGTTTAGTTATTCCATAGAAATAATAACCTCATTTATGCATGCTTATAGTGATCACTGTCTTGAATATTGCTTGACCAACAGTGACTATTCCTATAAATGGAATTCATCCTCTTTTCAGAGATGTTACGATGTCAAAAAAAAAAGCACAAACATGTTAGAACTGCAGTATAAAAGTATGATAGCTCAAAGTTACTTTGTTAATTAAAATAAATATTTAAATTAGTTTTTAATTATATAAAATATTTCTGTGCATTAGTCAGTTAACTTATTGGTCATTAAATTTTAGGTGATGGCAGTTATTCTTGAGTTGCTCTTTTAATGAAGTTTATCTGTTTTCATATGCTATTAAATTTATTACTGATTTTAAAAACTAATTTTTAGTTTGTTGTCTGTAATTTTTATTAAAAAGCAACTCTGACATATTAGTAGAATGTGCATCAGTTAGTGCTTTGAAGCTTAAGTTCTTAACCAATTTAAATTTAAACACTTAAAAAGTATCTGCATTTTGTTTCTCTGACAGGTTACAAAGACAGAATTGGAGAAATTAAAATCCAACTATAGACAATTAATAAAAGAAATGAATTCTGCCAAAGAGAAATATAAAGAAGCTTTAGCTAAAGGTATGGAAAAATTATGAAAAATGTTTACTTAAGTGATTTTTATTCTTAGCATGTGAAAGGAATCTTTATAAGCAGTAGAATGATTCCATTGAGATCAGTTCACATATAAAAATCCTCGAAGTAAACCAAAATAGGCAAATTATCAAACTATACAATGTCTTACTAGTTTTGTGCTGTCTTAAATAATACAAAGTATTTTTGAATAGTTCATACTAAATGCAATTATGTAGAATGTGTAATTGATTGCAAGGAATGTTTAAAATCTTTCTAGCATCGTATTTACTTATTTAATTACAGAGTACTTAAATAAGAAAAATAGGGTTGTATTTGCTTAGAAGCCTTTTTAAATCTTCTTTTTACCTTTGGTATTTAAAAGCCATGAAAACCACAACATCATTTTATAGCATTATATTGTTTTTATAGCCTAATTTTATGTGTTTATTTGTTCTAACATTTTCATAAGAAGCCTTAGAACTAAATGGAAAGAGAAGCATATTATTTATGTTTTAAATAGATTTATGGTTTTTTAAATGTTGAATTTCAACAGAGATTAAACATAGTTCATGAACAGAAGCTTTGGTTGTTGCTATAATTAAGCAATATTTTTCTTAAATGTAACTAAACAAGCTCCATATTTATACATATTTTAAATGATAAAAGTTGGAAGGTTTTTCTTTTTGTTTTGTTAATTTTCTTCCTAACTAAATAAATGCTTTATTAGAAACTATTATTTAAAAAGTTACCTTTCTTTTTTATTATAAATTTTCTCCTTTTTCATTTGTTAAATAGTCTCATTATTTTGTAACCAATTCCTCTATTTGACTTTGTCTTGTGCAATGAAAATACTGTTTTTGTTTTTCCCAGTAATGATACTGATTTAGATGCAATTCTCCTTTCTCCCTTCCTTTTTCTCTCCTTTTACCTCCTCTTCCTCCTCCCCATTTCCTTCCTTTCCCTTGGTCTCTCTGTTCCTCACTTTCTCCTCTTTCTTTTCCCTGTCTTCTCTCCAATGTATATTTGTGTCTCCCTCTCTTCCTACTCCCAATTTACTCATGTTTCTCCCCCCCCCATTCTTCATCTTCTTTGTTGTGCTTGAACCAGGATCTGATCAGGGTAAATATTTGATTATTGTGTCTCTTTAGACTCTTTTAGTCTTTCCATCAAGAATAATCCCCTCACTTTTTATTATGATGTTGATTTTATTTTTCAAGAGTTCAGGACAGTTTTCTCATGAAATTTCTTATATTTGGGATTTGTCTGATTGCTTCCTCATACTGCTGTTTAACTTGTATTTAGTTTATCCCGTGTACTACCCATAAATTTGAGGATAGATTTGATGATTGATTAAATTCAGGTTAAACATTTTTGGCAAGAACACTCATAGGTGATGCTGTGTACTTTATGTTGCAACCTGTCAGGAGGCACGTAAAGTTGGCTTGTTTTATGGTGCCCAGTTAAGCTGATCACTTAAGGGGTGACTACCAGATTTCTCCATTGTAAAGTTACCTTTATCCTATGCAATTAATTAGTAACTCGGAGAGATGTATTGGCATTTATGAATACCCTACCCCTCAACAATAGTCCATCCAATAGTTTAGCGTCCATTGATGATCATTTGTACAATAACAATTATTACATTAATAGCCCACCATTTGTAAAATACCTTAAGGATGTCTGGGAAGACCAGAAAGGAGAGTTGAGGGAAGAAACGGAGAACAATGTAAATAGGGAATAAAAATCTAGAAATAGGGACGAAATTCCAAAACCTTTGCTGAGGCCTATCCCTATTTACATTCAACTGTTTCCAAAGTAATGAACCCTTTAAGGTAGAACTGGCTGAAGCAATGAGCAAAGAAAGCCTCTTGCTTAGGACTGTCACTTTAGTAAGAAGTGAATGCATTTCATGCAGCATGGAATGACAAGTACTTGAATGTGAAATACACAGATTTTACTTTCCTCTTGTGAATTGAATTCTGGATACTTTTAGTTGGTTAAACATATGGTGAAGTCGAACCATAAAACAATTTTGTGAATCCATAAGACTTGTATTAGCACTAAGTAGTGTCAAATAAAATAATATTTTATTTACTTTTTATTGTATATATTAGGAAATAAGCAAGTCTCTAAGGAGTATCTCATAGGAAACATCCAGAGGTCTGCTGGGATTCTCTTGATAAATATGGGGAATTCTGACACTGTTTGACATGACATGTGCTTCAACTTCCTTTGACTGTCATAAATGCTGTTGTCCATGAGAAATAAGTTGGGCATTTTCTGATGTGGGTTTTAGTCTGTTAATTTAAAAAATCATGAATCAGTGAATGTTTGTGCCAGGAATAACAAAGTTGTATCTAAACTGATGAACGTGAGTCTGTTTTATACCATTAAATAAAAGCTAGAACTGGGTGGGAGGTCTTTCTGCACCAGTGATTTGCCAAAGACTCAGCCTTCCTTTTCTCCTTTTCCTATGCCTTGTCAGTGAAGGGGTGACAGAATCATGTAGTAGGTACCTGGGATTTGTGAGGTGTAGCATTTTAGGCTGTATTTATATTGATGTTATTTAGATCCTGATGTGAATACTATCTGTTACAATTATGAAATAATCTGAGAAATATGTATGCAGACAGGATATTTGGTGGTATTAAGGAAATATTATATTTCAGTTTTGATAATGAAATTGTGGTTATCTTCTTGAAGACCTTTATATTTTTAATACTGATATAGAATAAAATAAGCTATATAGTCAAATTTATCACAAAAATGTTCTTTATACATTTGTTTTTTATTATTATTATTATTTGGATCCAGGCTCTAAATAAAGGATTACATATTGTGTTTAATTGCCATGTAGGAGAATTATCCCTACTTTTTGTTTTTTTACAGGCTCATGGTAGTACTATTGACATACAACAGAGTGCACATATTTAAAATATTAATTTTGATATAATTTGACATATGTATACACCTGTGATGCCATTACTAAAATCAAGATAATGAGCATGTCCATCACCCCTAAAAGATTTCTAGTGCCCCTTTGTTAATACTCTTCCATTTCTCTGTGACCCCTCAGCTCCTGTTTTCAGCTAACTACTGACCTTCCTTTTCTCACTATATGTTGATTTCCATTTCTGAGAATATTTTTTAAAAGGAGTCATACAGCATACACTCTATTTTGTCTGACTTCATATGCTTAGAATAGTTATTGTGAAATCCTCCATAGTGTTGCATTTATCAGTAGTTCTTTCTTTGTTTAAGAGACAGAGTCTCTGTCACTCAGTCTGGAGTGCAGTGGGATCTTAGCTCGTTGCTGCCTTGAACTCCTAAGCTCAACCTCTTGAGTAGGATAGCTCATTTTTCATTTTTATTTTATTACTCTTTTGTTTCATTTTATGTTTTGAGTTGGAGTCTCACTCTGTTTCCCAGGCTGGAGTGCAGTGGCGAGCTCATGGCCTCGACATCCTTGACCTACTGGACTCAGGTGATCCTTCCACCTCAACCTTCCTAGTAGCTGAAACCACAGGCATGTGCCACCATGCCTGGCTAATTTTTTGAGTTATTGTAGAGATGAGGTCTTGCCATGTTGCTCATGCTGGTCTTGAACCCCTGAGCTCAGGCAATCCTCTCGCCTCCACCTCCCAAAGTGCTGGGATTACAGGCTTGAATCACCGCGCCCAGGTTATTTATTATTATGTTTTGAGACAGGGGCTTGCTGTGTCACCCAGGCTATAGTACAATGGTGCGATTATAGCTCACTGCAGCCTCAAAATCCTGGGCTCAAGGAATCCTCCTGCCTCAACTTCCTGAGTAGAATAGTTCACTTTAAATTTTAATTTAATTAGCTGACTATAAATTAATTTTCTGAGACAGAGTCTTGCTTTATTGTCCAGGCTAAAGTGCAGTGGCACAATTATAGCTCATGGTACCCTCAAACCCCAGGGTTCAAGCAGTCCTCCTGCCTCAGCCTCCTGAATTGCTGGGATTACAGACATGTGCTACAATGTCCAACTATTTTTAAATTTTTTTTGTAGGAATGGATGCTATGTTGCCCAGGCTGCTCTTGAACTCCTGGTCTCATGTGATTCTCCTACCTTGGCTTCTCAAAGTGCTGGGATTATAGGCATGAGCCACTGTATCCAGTCAAGTTCATTTTTTAAATTGTTCATTAGTATTCTGTTGTATGGGTCTACCACAGTTTGCTTATCCACCTTTCTGTTAATAGACATTTGGGTAGCTATCCAGGTTTTGGCCATTATAAGTAAGATGGCTATGAACATTTATGTAAGTCTTTGTATGGATATGTGTCTTTCGTTTCTCTTACATTAATGCCTAGAGAAAGAATTACTGTATCATATATTGGTATATGTTTATCTTTTGATGAACCTATCAGACTTTTTTCCAAAGTGCTTGTATCATTTTGCATTCTATCCATTAGTGTGTGAGAATTCCAGTTCCTTCATATCTTGCCAATACTTGGGATGACCAGCCTTTAATTTTAGTTATGTTATCTCATTGCAGTTTACTTTGCATTTTCCAAGTAACTGATGATGTTGAACATCTTTTCATGTGCTTGTTTGCTGTCCATATCTTCTTTAGTGAAGTGCCTGTTCAAATAGGTTGCCTATTTTTAAATTGGGATTTTTGAGAGTTCTTTATATTTTCTGCATACAAGTTGTTTTTTAAATATATGTTTTATAAATCTTTTTTCCTCATCTGGAACTTATATTTTGTAATGTAACTTAGTACAAATCTTTTTAATTTTGAAAAAGTCAAATTCATTGCCTAAGTCAAGGTCACTAATATTTTTTCCTATGTTTTCTTCTAAAATCTTTATAGTTTTAGCTCTTACATTTAGGTCCATGATCCATTTGACTTAATTTTTGTGTATGAGGTGAATTGAAGATGTAAATTTTTTTTTTTTTGAGTTGGATCTCACTCTGTCGCCCAGACTGGAAGGCAGTGGACGCTCCTGGCCACCTCAGCCTCAACCTGCTGGGCTCCGG